ATGGCGAGGACAAACAGGACCATGTACACTCCTTTGATAGCTATGAGAAAAGCAAATATGACTATGATGCACAAATAGACCCACCGAACAACGCGCTGAGGCTGGCAAAAATGACTGCTGCGACGGAAAGGTTATTGAATGTTGCAAATGGGACGCCAGGAGAGCCCTGAGCACTGAAGTTCGGTGTCGATGTTGGGGTCGCTGCAGACATGATCGCGAAGTCGATAAACTGTGGAATGGTGAGGGCAGATGGAACTCTTCAAAGCGTTACGCACGCATATATAACTGAAAGCCATTTTTTGATTTTCATCTTCCACTTGATGTTGCCTCCGACCATGCCAGCTATCCTTGCAAACATAAAGGGAAGAAGCGTGCCTTGTAGGAACGAAGGCCTGATCGGGCTATTAAGTTAGATGCGGAGACTGAAAAATCAAGATATGATGCATTTGGTGAGTAGAAAACAAATGCAGAATGCCTGAGACTGACAAACCCACCATGCTTCTGTTACCAAAGACACAACCTGCCTGTAAATATGGGTTTCGATTATGCACTCCCACCCTCTTGCGTTGGAGGCTGAAGTAAGGATACTGGATAAGCAAGGTCTTCAATCAGCTGTCACGGTTACTATTGCCACCTCGCAATCATTAATGGGACGATGTCGAGTACCAACCCATGGGAGGATGTAATGCACATATACATCAAAATCTGTCACGAAAGGCAAATGGTCAGTCACTTCGTAATCAGAGTCTCCCACGCATACCGCTACTAGTAGGACTCGGAGAATATACTATCAAGCCACCACACAAAACACGAGCTCGAACGTTGGTGAGAGTGCCGCTCTGAATCATTTGAACACCACGTAAGTATTAGTACGAGATGGATCGAAACGACTAGTTACACATACTGCTCTGCAAACGACATTCCCATCGCAAAATGGCAGCACGACACGACTGCCAGCTTGCGAGATGGCCACGGAGGAGTTTCAACGTTTCTGCGCCGATGACCGCTGAGCAAGTCAATGTAGGAGACGCTTCTGACAAACGCCCATCCTACGCAAACTCACGGCGCGAGCACCGTAACGGCAGTCCGAGTCCGAGTCCGAATCGCAAGAATACACTTCAAATATTCACGGTACATTTGGGAGACGTAGCACGCATAAGTACGAGAGCTTGTCTTGACACTCTACTTTCAACATCTAGTCATACACACACGCGAATGTCGCACTGTGCACCCTTCGAGTCAACTCCCACTACATACATACGTAGTAGTATTTAAACCTCAGCGACATCGTGAGCCTTCTCGGTCTCTTGGTCGGAGGTCATGGACGTCTCGTGAGTGACCGTGATGCTAATTTCTTTCTGAATGGATCTACCCTCGTCGCTCCTAGGCAGGCCAATGATATGCTTGCTCTCTCGGTCGAAGCCGTCGTTTGCAAAGCCAAGCCGGACGGTAATAAGGCATTGCGATATTCCCTGCATACCCGGACATACATTAGAGCCCAAAATATTAAAGATGTGATTCAAGAGACTCACGAAAAAGATTGGTATGATGCAAATCATCACATATCCCACATTCCAAGCAGTCTGTAAGAGGACTAATCAGCTAAATGCTTGTCATTGTGCTCGCTCGAAGCTCACAGTGATATGGCCAGTAGGAGCCAGTGAAGCGACCTCATACAGTAACAGGCCAATCCAGGTAACCAGTGCGGACTCAGTGATCGCCACTAAAACGGTATTGTAGCGGCTCTCTCCATACGGTGCGGCAGCGTTATTCCTGTTCGCCTTGCGGGACACATGGCTGCGTGCAAGTCAGCTCTTCTGTTCATAAGGCAGATAGATTGCAACGCACATAATCTTTCCGATGATAGCCCCACTCAGTATTGTGTTGGTGATGAACGTAAACCATCCCCACGCCGCACTGATTCGGAAGGCAGTGAGATGATAAAAGTGAGTGTAGTTCCAGGCACTATGGTAAAACGACAGCTGCTGAAAGTCTCCGGAGAGCCCAAGGACTGGCGGAAGCTCGCCACTCAGTACAAGAATGAAGATTTAGAGGTGGTACGTACGGAGATTCAAGATTACTGCAACAGCCGGTACATAGAAAGCCCACCGCTTTCTCCCATACACAACATAAAATCTCCAAGCGACCAGACCGTCGCAGAGGAAGCCCTGTAGTGTGAGAGTTGAGCGTAGGATCCGCAGAAAACAAGAAGATTCAAACACACGGCGACAGTGGTTGTTATGCTGTCGTAGCCGGGAATCAGTATCTGCTTGCACGGAAGAAGAGGGAAAGAAACTGACGTTCCTATGAACGTTATCGGAATGGTCGAGATCTGCAGCTGGTCTGCTGGCGGCTGGATGACGCGAGACTGTCCAAACGTGATAGAACGAACGATGTAATGAATGAGTAAATTGACAAAGCTATTGCGCATATATGAGCTTCTGGGCGTGCGACTCATCCTGGATTTTTAGACATGCACTTACAGCACGATAGTGACAATCCGCAGACCTTTGAAAGGCGAACCGGATCTCCTGTACGTCGACCATATTGCGAGGACAAACAAGACCAGGTACACCCCTTGACAATCATGAGCAAAACATAGCCATTGTGCACCGAGAAACTCACCGAACAAGGCGCTGAGTCCAGCAAAGATCACAGCTATGACGGAGAGGTTGTTGAAGGTGGTAAACGGAACGCTAGGAGCAAGGCTCGGTGACGGTGACGGTGTCGCTGCATCCATTGTAACTTTGCTTTTGTCGATAACCCGGCGCGGGATGGTGAGGCCTGCCAGTGAAGGAAGCTCATGAGCACTCGGACTGTGTATATAACGAAAAAAAGGGTTTGATCATCATTTAATCTGCGTCCTCGACTACGAAGAGTTCACACCTATAACAGTCATTGCTGGAAACGAGGGAAGAAGTGCTCACTATTTGGAAGGAAAGCATCGATAGGTTCACCCAGTGAGATGCGGAGACTGCGCAAGATCAAGATGTGATGAGTGTCATGGGTAGCAAAAGATGGAGAACGTTCCTGACATGAAATATGGGCTCACAACTCTTCTTCTGCTGCACAGGCACGACCGTTCCATACACCTTTTTGTTCGAGCACACATTCCCTAGTACTCAAATCGGAGAGTGCTGTTGGCGTAGAAAGTACTGTAGAGCTTTTATGTAGCTTCCGCCACGACCTGAGCTCGAAGCTATCACCTCGATGATGTCGAATACCACAATAGGGAGTATTTGAGGTGCAGATACGTCCCGCTGATAACACGAAGGTGACTCCGAAAGAAAACAGTCTCTCACACATACCACTGCGCAAAGATGTCCAATCAGCACCTCTATCTATAACAGTATAATGATGCAGGTACAGGCGGAGCTATACATACCGCTCTACAAGCAATCCCGCGGTATTCGTCGCTCACGGCAGCACGACACAGGTTTGGGGCCAAAAACGCGGCGCGTAAGATGGCATCCATTGCTGTACAACTCTGATGATTGAGCCGTGGCAGTTATGTTCCTAGATAGCTTTGTGCGGTAGCTGTTAGCACAACACCCTGGAATCGAAGAACTGCGGATGCTCACTTTTACACACTCGTCATGTACTGTACCCAACTGTAAGATGCCACCAAAGTGAGCCATCATGTTATTATCAGAGCGAGGGCATACGTACGATCGGATATTCAATACATCGACGGACGGTTCCTCGACATACTATCGTTTCCAACATCATGCCTCATTGACATCTGTTGACCAACTTTTATATTCTTCGAGATCCGCTGAGATACTGTCGAGTTGACTCTGGACAAACCCAATGGCATCTGCACCGAGGAGCAGCCTGAGCGGAGGATGTGGCAAAGTCGAAAGCTCGTAGATCTTCTCAGCACCCTTCCGCGGGTCACCCAACTTGGTACCCGGTTTATCGATGTGACCGAGCAGCTGCTCAGCCTTGATCAGCCCAGACGTGGGAGACATATAGACCTCCGGTACAGGCAGTCGGACCGCTGCCTCTAGCGCAGAGGTACGGAAGGTCCCAGCCTCCACGAGCGATATCTATTTGAGTACTGGATCAGATACAAGCTCTCGCACTGGGAAATCAGATATAACCTTGATATTCCATGCCGAATCTAGCTCCTGAGCCATTGCTTGCGTGAGAGCCTCCAGCGCTACAGCATAATCATGAATACTCTGCCAAAGAGTGAGAAAGCGGCTGACTGAAACGCACCGTGCCGTGTAGCTGCATACCACCCCAAGCTCGGCAGAGCAGTGAGGCCGGCATACGAGCTGATGACTATCAGTCTGCCCCCCACTCCGGCTGGGTTGTCGTCACGAAAGAAACGGACGGCCTCTCTGCTGACACGGGCGCCGCCCCAAAAGTTGGTCTCGAAGATGGCACGGGCCACGTCTTCAGGTGTCGTCTCCACGAGAGAGCCCATTCCGTACCCCGCATTGTTGTAGACAACGTCCAGTCGTCCGAATTTCTCCTTGGCCGTTGCGAACGCGGCGACCACGTCGCTCTCTTTGGTTACATCCACCTTTAAAACAAGCAATTGATTGGGAGGCGTGCGATCTTGAAGTTCTTTGAGCACTTCGGGTTTGCGAAGTGTGGCAACGACGATGTCACCCTTGCTCAAGGCTATTTCTGTGACTAATCTGCCAAAGCCTGAAGAAGAGCCGGTGACTTTGAGTGGGGGTATTGATCAGTGAATGTGCATTGCTGCTACCAGTCAAAACTTACTGAGCCATACTCGGGACGACATGGAACACATTGTGGTGAGAGTGTGAGCCGTGGTGCGGTGTTACTGCTGTGAATGCCGGGGCAGTCACTGCGGCAATTACGGAGGGAGTTGAGTTTGAGTCAGTTGCATTTTGCATGCATGGTCGTGGGTGATCATCGATAAGTTGCTGGTGGCGGCATATATAGCTTCTTGATATGATCTACAGGTCACCGAGTTGTGAATTGGAATGAAAACTGTGCGATACAAAAACCACCAAGATTGCTCATGACGAGAGCGGGATTTGAACCCACGCCCTATTCGGACCAGATAGCCACAAACCTCCTTAGTCTGGCGCCTTAGACCGCTCGGCCATCTCGCCATGGATTTTTGGTCAACTAGCAGTGCCGAGATATAAGTAGCAAGGGACCATCGAAGGTGCCCGCCCGCTACGGATGCTGTCAGAACATTGCAGTCATGTGCGTGGCGTAAAGCAGCCATTTGCGCCAGCCACTTGCGTGTCCCGGCACTAATAACAAAGATTCAGGAGATTAGTCAAATGCGGAACATATGCATGACGTTTCGCATGGCATTCGGCATTAGCATAGATACGTGCAGCTACATACGTGACCCCTTTCTCCCAGTCGTATAAAAGGTACAGCTCTTCTCAGTCTCCCTTTCTCGAACAGAGCCACAGCAAAATGCCCACTCTCAAGAACGTCACTACTCTCGGAGGCACCGCCTCCAATGTCAAGGTTGCCAGAGTTGCAGTGAGTGCCCCTTTGCTACCATGTTTATCTCATCTTGTCTATGCTCACCAGTTCGTGATCTAGCATGGACTCATGTTGATGACGTGCGTATACCCTCTCTTTTCCTTCACGCCTTCAGCAACTGACCAGTGAGCTCGGGCAGATGGAATCCTACACCTGTCCCTGAAGAACAGTGCTTCGAGGCTATCAAGGCTGGTGCAGATCTCTGCCCTCCCGGTGTGAAGATGATGATAAACAGCGGTAAGCTTCTTCCTTCTATTTGCGTGCCGTGGAGTTGACCAATCACGTCCGAGTAGGCGAGTTTTATGCTCAAGATTTCGGCACCCTCAATCTCGAGATGCTCTCCCGCTTCTTTGAACAGAACCCCGACTACGTTGACAAGATCTTTCTCTCCGTAAAGGTGTGCACAACTCTCCCTTTGAGGCAGCGGTTCGCGATTTCCTGAGCGTGGCGACTTGGTAGGGCGGCTTCAAGCTGAAATCCTTCGAAATCGATCATTCGTACGTCAATTGTGTTTCCCTACCTTGCGCGTATCGAGCTCACTCGTAAACAGCGTCGAAGGTCTTGAACGCAGCGTAAACGCTTGCAACGAAGCCCTCCGCCATAAGAAGCACATCGACCTTTTTGAATGCGCCCGTCTTGACCCCAAGAACTGGCCGATCGAGCAGACGATCCGCAACCTGAAGACCATCATCGACAAAGGCCTCTTTGACCACATCGGCCTGTCAGAGGTCAGCGCCGACACGCTCAGAAAAGCCAACGCGGTCCACCCGATCAGTATCGTCGAGATTGAGGTAAGCCCATGGAGTATGGAAGACGAGACCAGGAAGGGTACGTCCATCTCGCCTATGGTTTTCGCAGCACCGTCACTGATAATAAATATGTTTTCAGTGCTTGCTACGGCTGCAGAGCTTGGCGTGACCGTAGCTGCATATGCGTCAGTCATCATCAACACCTTGCGTCTAGTTGCTTACCTCTGTTACTTCACAGCCCTCTTGGCCGCGGCTTCCTCACCGGCAGGTTCAAGTCCCCGGAAGACCTTCCCAAAGGCGACATGCGCGCTGCATTCACGCGCTTCAGCAACGCCGAATACTTTGCCCACAACATGAAGCTCGTCGAGAAACTCAAAGCCATCGCAGAGAAGAAAAACGTCTCTCCCGCACAGCTCAGCATCGCTTGGGTCATCTCTCTTCACCCGACACTCGTCATCCCTCTCGCTGGTTCTTCGTGCGTTTTTGTCCCTCTCTGACTGTGTCGAGACAAGAGCTGATTTTTCTTGCTTTCTTTCTTCGTGCGGATAGGCACGCCAAACGCACGACTGAGAACACGCTCGCTGGGGATATCGAGCTCAGTGAGGAGGAAAAGAAGGAGATTTGGGATATCGTCAACGGGCACGAGGTCAAGGGTGATAGGTACCATGGTGGTCCCAGTGAGGCTATGCACCTGTGGGCTTGAGGAAGCTTGCAAACGTATCAAGAGAGATCTGTTGCTTGATATCGCTTCAATTCAGGAGCATTCCCCGGACCCGTCGTCTTGCAACAACTTCGTAAATGTTATAGCTATGTAAGTTCAGTGCCTAGTTTAGCGATGACGCGGACGCCCGGCTCTGCCCTTTCACAAGAAATCGGAACCGCGCGGCGCAAATTCCAACTCGAAGCATGCACTGCAACTTTCTCTGTAGGCGCTTGATGCCAAAGTTCACGCGTTCACGATTCAGAACATCGCTCATGATGTCGTGTATAATTCCGCCTCCCGTATCATTTCAGAAAATTGATGGTAAAGTAAGTAGCTGCAATGCAGCGTCGGTAGATTATACTACTGGCCACAAAATCACACAGGCATGACCGTGTCGGGTTATGTAAGCGAGACACCGCCAACTCACGGTATCCGCGGCTGCCAAGTGGTTTGGAACTTTGCCGCCAAGAACCTAAGAACCAAAACAAAAGCCCGAGGCAAGGAACGGTGGCAAAGTACTACTGGCAGTACACGTATAATACAACAAAGAAACCGAAGCAGTACTCCGTTTGTGCGCACCATGCAGAAATTCCCATGGATCAAAATGACATTTGCCTCAGCTGGCCGTAAGTCACTTACCCCACAGTACATAAAGCTGATCTCCTCATGTTTCCCCAAACACATTCCTTCTATTCTCGCAGTCATCGGATTTGGCTACATCATCATGCGGGGTACGTCGTAAGCTCCAACGCAACAGACTTTGCCGACTAATCACTGCTCGCTGCTCGAAAATTCTAGCTACGGTACCCACACCCGAACAGACATACAACGTAAGTAGTAGACTCAACTTGTCTGTCCCGCTTTGCTCGTATCTCACTCGCTGAAACTACTTGCAGGCCATGGCACCCGATTTACGCCGCAAGGTTGATGCCAACCGTGCAGCACGGTTAGCCAGGGAAGCGGCTGTACAACAACAAGCACAAGCTCAAGTTGGTACCGTGATGTTTTTTGTGGTTCCTGCACCGAGTCTTATTCTTATGCATCAGCTGAACGACCCGGACGCAGAGAAACCAGTATGGGCGCCAGCTGGCCGACGATGACATTCTCCTGGTCGTACCTTACTTTATATGTCATCCAGACATGTTCATTGCAATCTCATGCTTGGAATCCAATCATCTCTTCTCTCGGACACCAAGCGTGTGCTTGTTTCTTATGCTGCTCTTATTTGAATGCACGGGCTTGGTACAAGAGAGAAGGTAAACACTGATGATTCTACACCGCGGAGAAAGAAACAACAACACAGCAGGAGATGATTCAGACGAGACGTACTAGCTACAATACGGTGCATGCTCATAAAGGGTCATAACAAGATAGCCTACCGGATACCAGCAGTAGCTTTTTGTAGGGCACGCTTGATGCCCAACTGCGCCTTCCTCAGCTCATCAGCACTCGAGTCCTCAATCTCGAGTTTTTCAAGGGCACGAGCAAGCTCGGCCTCGACCTGGGCCTTGGCACCACGCTTGAGCTTCAGGGAGAGCTCGGGGCTTGTGATAGTGTTTTCAACTTGGTGAACGTACGCCTCCAAGTCAGATTTTGCCTCGTGACGAGCAGAGAAATCCTTGTCAGCTTGTTTGAACTGCTCGGCATCCTTAATCATCTGGTCAATCTCAGCGGACGAGAGACGGCCAACGGAGTTGGTGATGCCTGACAAGATAGTCAGTGGTCTGATTATAGACTATATGCATATGAGAAACTCACTAATCTGGGCCTTGCGGCCGGAAGCCCGGTCCAGGGCAGTAACCTTGAGGAGACCGTTGGCATCAACCTCGAAAGTGGTGACAAGTTCGGCTTGGCCGCGAGGCATTGGGGGGATGCCGTTTAGCTCGAATTCGCCGAGAAGTCGGTTGTCACGGCACTGTGTGCGCTCACCCTCGTACACGGGGAAAGTGACAGTGGTCTGGTTGTCCTCAACGGTCGTGAAAGTTCTTGACTTGTTGGTGGGAATAGGGGTATTACGGGGGACAACAACACCGAAGATGTCGCCCTGCATGGCAACACCGAGGGAGAGAGGAGCAACGTCGAGGAGGAGGAGATCGGCGGTTTTGTCAGAGGTTTGGCCAGTGAGAACAGCGGCTTGAACAGCGGCACCATATGCGACGGCCTCGTCAGGGTTAATGGACTTGTTGAGTTGGCGACCACCGAAGTACTCCGAGACAAGCGATTGAACCTTGGGAATACGAGTAGAACCACCGACAAGGACAATGTCGTCGACTTTCTCGCGAGACATCTTCGCATCCTTCAACACACGCTCAACAGGGTCGATTGTTGACTTGAAGAGAGCACCGTTGATTTCTTCGAAACGGGCACGAGTAATGTTCGCGGAGAAGTCCTCACCCTGGAAGAGCGAGTCAACCTCGACAGTAGTTTGAGGAACGCTCGACAGCGTCCTCTTCGCCCGCTCGCATGCGCTTCGAAGACGACGGATAGCGCGAGGGTCTTCGGAAATGTCATGGCCAGTCTTCTTCGAAAACTCCTTCTTGAAAAATTCCAAGAGGTTGTTGTCGAAGTCCTCACCACCAAGATGAGTATCACCAGCAGTGGCCTTCACGGCGAAGACACCACCGGTGATGCTGAGTAAAGAGACATCGAAAGTTCCTCCACCCAAATCGAAGATGAGGACGTGCTTCTCCTGCGCAGATTTCGAGTCAAGACCGTAGGCGATGGCAGCGGCGGTAGGTTCGTTGATGATACGGAGAACGTCGAGGCCAGCGATGGCACCTGCATCCTTCGTAGCCAATCGCTGAGAGTCATTGAAGTACGCAGGGACGCTGAAATGAAAATTGTCAAGATAACTTCATAAGTTTCTTGAAATTGCACTAACGTGACGACAGCTTTTTGGACAGTCTTGCCGAGCTTAGCCTCAGAAATCTCCTTCATCTTAGTCAAAACCATCGAGGAAATCTCCTGGGGGCTAAAAGTCTTCTCCTCATTTAGATATTCAACCTTGATTAAGGGTGATCCATCCTTGTCAATAACCTCGAAAGGCCAGTGGGTCATGTCCTACGGCATCCCGAGTATTAATAAATGTGAAATCTCTGGTTTTCTGGAATCAACAAACCTTCTTCACGTCGGGATCACTATGGAATGAATATCTGTG